ATATGGAAGAGCCAATCCAAAATAATGTATTGGAGGATTTTGTTTACAAAATTACATTTTGTTTATATCCTATCGTGAACTGCTCTAAGAGTCTGTATTAAAAATCTTTAGCATAGAACTAAGGAATGTCATCATGCTCTTGATTTACACTGATTTATGATTTTTAAAATTTGTAAGGCAGGGAGAATTTTTACAATTGAATAATTATTAACATTTCTTCTTTATATGAAAGTAATACATGATCCCTGAGGATACTAGTTTTAAATCTAAAAGCAATTATTGTGGGGCGCCTGGGTGGCTCAGTCGTTAAGTGTCTGCCTTTGGCTCAGGTCATGATCCCAGGGTCCTGGGATCGAGTCCCGCATTGGGCTCCCTGCTCCACTGGAAGCCTGCTTCTCCCCTCTCCCACTCCCCCTGCTTGTGTTCCCTCTCTAGCTGTCTCTGTCAAATAAATAAATAAAACCTTTAAAAAAAAAAGCAATTATTGTAATGTCTCATTATAAAGCATTTACCTTTGTTTAGATTTGGCAGTTATGTCAGAAGAAAACACTTTTATTTGTGGCTTTTGAGAATAAAGCTACTATCTTTTAATTTCAAAAACTGTTTAAATATTCTTTCAGTTGTGTAAATAACCAAACTGTGACAAAGCACCTCCCTAACTTCTAGGAGTTTTATGATTCATGAAAATAACAACAATGAAGACATACAAAAAGAAACACTAACACAAAAAGTTATAAAATCAACCAATAAAAAAGGAACACAAACAGTGTTCTGTCATACAGTGTGGGGGAAAAAGAACATATTTGGACAGAGTGAAGTATAAGTAGAGAAATCAACATCTCAGTTCAAAGTAGGAAAAAATTCTTAAAAAGTCACCCTGGTAGATTTGTGAGAGAGAGGATTTAAAAAAATAAAACTGGGATTTCTTGGTGATTCAAGAACTATGTTTTCTTCCACAGCCGCCTGGCTTATAAGGGACTCATGGAACCGAGGTGGGTGGGGTTGGGGTTTAGTGTCTATCACTCTCAACAAATGAGCAGGGACACATGGATATCCACATGCAAAAGAATGAAGTTGACCCTAACACCTCACACCACATACAAAAGTTAACTCAAATGGATCAAAGACCCAAATGTAACAAATGAAAAACTATAAAATTCTTGGGAGAAAACAGGTGTAAGACGTCAAGATCTTGGTTTACGTAATGATTCCTTAGATATGACACCAAAAGGACAAGCAACCGAGGAAAAAAATAGATAAACTGGACTTCATCAAAATTACAAACTTTTGTGCTTCCAAGGACACCACCAAGAAGTGAAAAGACAACTCACAGGAGAGAAAATATTTGTAAATCATATATCTGATAAGAGACTTGTATCCAGAATATGCAAGGAACTTTTAGAACTCAACAATAAAAAACAAATAGCCCAATTCTTAAAATGGAGGAAAGATCTGAATAATTTCTCCAAAGAAAAAAAAATATATAGGGGGTATACATGGATGTACTACATAAAAATGGGACATTCCAAAACTGCTGTCAGGGGACTTTGTTACCTTGTTCACCAACAGGTCAGATTTACAGCAGCTGAGGGCATCTATTCCAAAATGAATGTGATGGAACACAAAGAAGTAAACTGAGATGATTCACTTTGGCTGTCTGAACAGTAGTGTTTCATAGGAAGAGAAAAAAAGTCACACAAAGGCTTCTTCTCTTTGTAGTAGAGTAGAAAAGCTCTCTTTCAAAAAGAATATACAAATGGCTACTAAGCATGTGAAGAAAAGATGCTCAAACACCATTAGCCATTAGGCAAATGCAAATTAAACTTACAGTGAGATATACTTCAGACCCACTAGGATGGCTATAATAAAAAGACAGAGAATAACAAGTGTTGGTGAAGACAGGGAGAAAAATGGAACCCTCATACATTGCTGGTAGGAATGTAAAACGATGCAGATACTCTGGGAAACAGTTTGACAGTTCCTCAAAATGTTAAAGATATAGCTACCATATGACTCAGTAAATCTACCCCTAGGTGTATACCCAAGAGAAATGAAAACATAAGTCCACTCAAAAACTTGTACAAGAGGGGCGCCTGGGTGGCTCAGTTGGCTAAGCATCTGCCTTCGGCTCACGTCATGATCCCAGAGTCTCGGGATCAAGCCCTGCATCAGGCTCCCTGCTCAGAAGGGAGTCTGTTTCTCCTTCTGCCTCTAACCCCGCTTGTGCTCTCGTTCCCTCTCGAATAAATAAATAAATACTCTTAAAAAAAAAAAAAACAACAAACCTTGTATAGAATGTTTACAGCAGCATTATTCGTAATAGCTAAAACATGGAAACAGCCCAAACATCTATCAACTAATTAACAAAATGTGGTCTTATCCATACAACAGAATATTATTTGGCCATAGAAAATTAACGAAATACTGATACATACTACAACATGGATAAACCTTGAAAATATTATGCTGCATAAAAGAAGTCAGACTCAGAGGCCATACGTTGTACGAATCCACTTATATGAAATGTCCAGAATAGGCAAATTCACAGAGAAAGGAAGTAGATTAGTGGTTGTTATAGACTGAATTGTGTTCTCCCCAAATTTTTATATTGAAGCCCTAACTCCCAGTGTGACTACATTTGCAGATGGGGCCTATAAAGGAGATAACAGAGGTTAAGTGAGGTCATAGAGTGGGGACCTAATCTGGTAGGGTTGGTGTCCTTTTAAGAAGAGGAAGAGACACCAGATCTCCATCTCTGTCTCTGTCTCTCTCTCCCTATGCGCACAGAGGAAAGGCCATGTGAGAACACAGTGAGAAGGTAGCTGTCTACAAGCCAGGAAGAGAGGCTTCACTGGACCCCAATCCTGATGGCAACTTGATCCTGGACTTGTAGCCTTCAGACTGTGAGAAAATAAATTTCAGTTTTTTAAGCCACCCAGTCTGTGGTATTTTGTTATGACAGCCTTAGCAGACTAATACAGTGATTGCCAGGAGCCAGGGGAAGGGGAAAATGAGGAGTAACTGCTAACAGATGTGGGGTTTCTTTCTGGGGTAATGAAAATGTTCTGGATTTACATAGTGGTGATAGCTGCATAAGTGTGAATACACTAAAAACCATCATGCAATTTAAAAGGGTGAATTTTAGGGTATGTGAATTCTTTCTTGATAAAAAAATTTGTATCAATTAGATGTCAATTTTAAAAATCTTAAAAAAAAAAAAAAGCAAGTTGCACATTTATAAAAGTCCATCCTGGTCATGTGACAAACCTGGAACCTGATTTGACTGAGGAACTTAGAGAAATCCCCCTACCTCCCATTTTCCTAGTTTGATTTACAAGTGTCACCTGTTAGTTGTAATGCATGTTTACTTACAAGAAACTCATTCAATCACGTTCTTGAGAAAAGGAAAAAAATCTTGTTACTTTTTGTATGGGAAAGGCAAGTGGTTAAAACAGAAGGTTTATGAGCCCTTCCTACTTACTGTTATTCCCTAACCTTCTTTGTTTTGATGCCCTTCCCTTCTTAGCCTCATCTTTGTTTTTCTTATCTATAATATCGTTTGGTTCTTCATGAATTTTCTTCCCTAACAGCCACTCACTTTCCTCTTTGCTTCCTTTGTCCTGGTTTCCTTACATCAATAAGTGTGTACTGAAAACCTCCCGCTTGACAGTAGGGGCTCTGCTTTTAGGAAGCTTAGAGTCACATCTTGTCTTTCTTTTCTCTTCTAATCACACAGTATTGTGCCTTCATGTGCCCACTATCACATTTTCTTACGCATTTTCACTCCTCTATTTGTGATGATTGTTCATATATATATATATATGAAGAGAGAGAGAGAGTCCCCAATGTTACTGCTATGGCATATAAAAATACTGACAAGAAGGACGTGAAAATGTCTGACTCTTGTGTTCATTCATGATGCTGTTCTGATTTTTAAGAGGTAGGAGATGGTGTTGATGATGATGATGGAGCTAGAGAGGCTGAGGAAGCGTATGGAGCAAGACTGTGGGAGCTTTCCTTAACAGCGCAGACAGTCTCTGTGGGTGGAGAGCCTGAGCTCGGGTTTCTAGAAGTGATCTGACAAGCATTTCCGGGACATGACTAGGACCTAAGAACCCAATACTAGGGGCACAGAATTCAAGGACGTGATCTTTGCTCTTTAAGAAGGTAACATGTACTAGAAAAAGACAGATGTACAATGAGGTATTTCTCATAGTAAGCAGCAGGTCCCACCAGTCCCCTTATCTGGTGCTATTCCTTCTATTCCTCTCTTCCCTCACTCAGACTTATACCAAGCATTTTATTTCATGCCAGCCTTGGTGCAAAGAACTGGGAACATAAAGACCAGTAAGGAAAATTGGCTTCCAAACCAGTCATTACTCTTGAGGAGCTGAACTTACTACTTTGTCTGGCAGAAAAGTCCTCTCCCCTTTCCACAAACCCAAGTCCTCTCCTACTTAAACTTTCTTCTCAAGTCTTTGTAAATGAAGGTTATGTGCTTATAAGTCAACCTGATATTCTACTCATCCCCTTTCATTTGGTTTTATGCATTTTACAAACTATATGTTTTGGCCCTCTATTTACAGATTCTATTACTATGAGGCCCCTATTATAATGAAGCAGCTTCTCATGGGGTTATATATTAATAGGATTATTATGAGGCTATGTAATTAATGCTCTGTTTCTCTTCAAAGACTAGTGAATGCTACTGATCGTTGAGTCAGACTTGGAAATCCCACTCTCCAAAACCTTATCACAATTTCAGCTGGGACTTCAAATAGTGTTACCCTGTGAATAGGCACATATTATATCCCTAAATAAATGAGCTTGACTTTAACTCTAGCCTGGTATCATCTGCCACTGGTCTGAGTGAACTGGTGAACACGGTATGTGACTTTGTATTATGAATGTATAATTAGCCACGCAGTCTCTCCCCAACCAACACACAGATACCATAAGGGCATTCATTCCCTAAGTCAAAGGTACAAGCATGCATATACCTGAGGGAAGGCTGTGGAATAGTGTCTGGACTGGCTGGTACCTGGACTCCCTTTTCCCATTCTTCCTTCCATGTATCCGCAAAGAGGTAATAGCTGTCAGGATTAATGTGATGAGAATCTGGAATTTTCATGGCACTGATGAGGTCCTTCCGGAATACCTGAGAAGACATTGTACACATCTTGAGAAGACCATCACTAGGAAACTAACACCATTTAATGTACTTTTAAAAAGACTATCCTCACCCACTCTTCAACAAGAGATATCTCTAACTTCCTAAATGGCCAGATCAACTTCTATTTGGAAAGGGTTTGTAGTACTGACAGTTTGTTCTGGATTTAATGAAGAGTAAATAAATCCTTCTGGAATTATTTACTAGGGCTCCTTGAATTTAAATCAACAATACAGGTTACTCTAATATAGTTTGTACAAAACAACCTGTAACTCTCTCAAATTAAGCAGTTTAAGTATCCTCTGATAACTTCTAATTATTTATTTAGGTATCACTTTATTTTTTACTTAGAAATTATTTTAATATCTTATTTTTTTCTTCCTGAGATTTTGATAGGAATTACGGGTTGTTTTTTTGTTTTTTTTTTTTTTGAGGGGGGGAGGGGAGAGGGAGAGAGAGAATCTTAAGCAGGCTCCATGCCCAGCGTGGAGCCTGATGCAGGGCTGGATCTCATGAACCTGAGATCACCACTTGCACCGAAATCACGAGTCGGATGCTTAACTGAGCCACCCAGGTGCCCCTACTTGGAAATTATTTTAGACATATGGAAAAGTTACAAAAATAGTACAGAGCTCCCATATACCCTTCATATAGTTTCTTCTGTTAACATCTTACATAACCAGAGTATAATGACCTAAACCAAAAAATTAACATTGCTACAATACTATTAATTAATCTATAGACCTTATTAAAGTGTTACTAATTTTCTGGTTAATATCCTTCTGTTCCAGAATTAAATCCAGGATCCCACATTGCAATTACTTGTCATGTCTCCTAGTATTCTCCAATTTGTGACAGTTTCTTAGTATTTGTCTTTCAAGACCTTGACACTTTTGAAGAGAACTGGTCATGTATTTTAGAGACTATCCCTACAATTTGGGTTTGTCTGATGTTTTCTCATGATTGAAATTTTACTCATTTTTGGCAAGAATACCACAGAAATGATGCTGTCTCCTTCTCATTCCATTATATCAGGGGCATATAATGCTGATGTCCTATCAGTGGTGATGTTAAACTTGATCACTTGGTTAAGGTAGTGTCTTGCTGGTTTTCTCCACTGTTAGATTACTGTATTTCCCTTTGTAATTAATAAACATCTCAGAGGAGATACTTTAAGATTATAAAAGCATCCTGTTTCTCCTCAAACTGTCATGAGCTAATTTTAGCATCCACTGGTGGATATCTTGCTTGCAAGAATTATTACTGTGGTATCATAATGGTGATTTTCTATTTCCCTCAGTCCTTCCACATTTATTAATTGGAATTCCTCTGTAAGAAAGATCTGTCCCTTCTTCCCCCTTGTTTATTTATTCAATTATTTAGTTATATCATTATAGACTTGTGGATATCTATTTTATCCTCTGGGTTATAAGCCAGTATTATTTTTGTTGCTCAAATTGTTCCACCTTTGATCACTGGGAGCTCTTTTGTGTTGGCTCGTGCCTCTACTCTTTCAACACATCCCATCCTTTTTTGAGTATTTTCTTAATTTCCTACATCATGACATGCCCCAGGCATGTTTATACCCTCCGTTTATAAAAGCTATTGATTTTATATGTTAACTTCATATCCCGCTACCTTACTGAATTCTTTTATTGCCTGAGTTAGTTTTATCATTGATTTTCCTGTGGTTTTCTAGATATATTATCATATCATCTGCAAAGAGAGTTTCACATCTTCTTTACCTAGTCTTAGGTCTCTAATTGGTTTCTCTTGTTTAACTGCACTGGCAAATACTGTATTAATATTTGGAATAGTAATGGGGATAGTCAACGATATCTGCCTTCTTCCTGAAATTGGGGGAAATGATTCTAGTGTTCTTCATTAAGATCCTAGGTTGAAGACTATGGGTAGATATACAGTATCTATGTTAAATTATCTTACAGTTCTCCTTTATTCTTGAATGTTTTTGAATGCCTGGGTACTGAGGTTTGTTAAAGGCTTCTTCAGTGTATATGAGAATAATTGTATAATTATTTTCCTTAGATATATTAATATGCTGTATGATTATATTGTATTTTTTTTAAAAGATTTTATTTATTTATTTGATAGAGAGAGACAGCGAGAGAGGGAACACAAGCAGGGGGACTGGGAGAGGGAGAAGCAGGCTTCCCGCGGAGGAGAGAGCCCGATGCGGGGCTCGATCCCGGGACCCTGGGATCATGACCTGAGCCGAAGGCAGATGCTCAACTGACTGAGGCACCCAGGCACCCTATTATATTGTATTTCTTATTACCCAAACAAACTTGCATTTCTGGAATGAATGTCATTTGGTCATGATACATTTGTTAAATATGGTACTGTATTCAGTCTTCTAATATTTTATTTAGTATTTTTGTGTCATATTCATGAGTGATATTTATCTGAAGTTTCCTTTCTTTTTTTAAAATTGTCTTTGTCTTTTAGGTTTAGGTATCAGTGTTATGCATGCTTCATAAAAGGAATTAGAAAAAAATAAAAGGAATTAGAATATTTTCATTCTGTTACAATGCTCTAGAATAACCTGAGAATTATTGGGACTATCTGGTCCCTAGGAAACCATCAGGACTTGGTGCTTTCATTGTGGGGTAGTTGCTTAATAATATTCTCTACTTCTTTAGAAATTGGTCACTTGAAGCTTTCTACCGCTAATGGAGTCAATTTTGGTAATCTGTATTTCCATAGGAAGTTATCTATTTTATCCAGTTTTTCAAATTTATTTCTGCAGAGGCTTGCAAAGTATAGCCAGTTCTACTTTGCACAGAAGCTTGGGATCAGAAAATGACAGTGCGTGTGGAAACTGTGAAAAGCAATCTTAATAACTAATGGGGAGGGCGCCTGGGTGGCTCAGATGGTTAAGCGTCTGCCTTCGGCTCAGGTCATGATCCCAGGGTCCTGGGATCGAGTCCCGCATCAGGCTCCCTGCTCCTTGGGAGCCTGCTTCTCCCTCTGCTTCTCTCTCTCTCTCTCTCCCTCTCTCTCTCCGTCTCTCATGAATAAATAAATAAAATCTTTAAAAAAAAAATAACTAATGGGGAAAATTATGATTTTTCTATGACCTTTAAACATTTTTGTCAAAATATAAGAAACTCTTATTGTTGGCTATAAGTGTATAAAAATGAAAAATCGATATTTTAGTATATGGTAAACATTAGAAACATTGAGAATTAAAGTATTTTTTATAAGAAAATTTCTCAAGAGTAGGTGGAACAAAGCTTGCCTCCTTTTTCTTATCATATAATTTAAGATACGGAGCAAACAACTGAGATGGAATGTTTTAAACTTTCATTATTTTAAAAAATCTATGATTTCAGTTTGTATTTCCCTTTTCACCCAAGAGTTGTTTAATAGGTTTTAAAATTTCCATAGGAAAGGACCTTTCTGTTTTTGTAATTTCTGATTTTACAGCATTGTGACCAGAGTACTGTTTATATTATGTCCATGTAATAATGGAAATCACTGTTTTCCTTGTGACTTAATATTTGGTCATATTTTGTATGTGTATCATAGACATTTGAGAAGGTGCATTCTCTATTATCTCTAATATCAAGGTTTCAAGTTTGATGTATATTCATCATCTGTACCTTACTAAGCTGCTTAAGTTGTTTATAACTATCTCCTCACTTATTTTTTTGTTCACTTACTCTGTCTGATACCGAGAGAGGTATATGAAAGCCTCCTACAATTAGTGTGTTTCTACCTATGTCTCCTTGACTCTTCCATAGTTTTTGCTCCATGGAGGTGGTTGCTGTGTTATTCAGTGTATAGATATTCCCAAGTATCACATCTTCACGGTGAATTGTGGTGTTTAGCACTAAAAAGCCTTCTTTGTTTTGGGGGGCTTGATTGATTTCTACTTTGTCTGAGATCAGGCTCACTCCTCCTCCTACCATTTTCCTGGTATACCTTTGTCCATCTCTATTTTTAGCCTTTCTGATTAGGTGTTTTAGGTATACTGTATACAGCATATAGATGCATCTTGTTTTGTGAGCCATAAAATTTTTTTCTTTAATAGATGTTAAGCCCATTCATAATATTTATTGGCATATCTCAGATATTTAGTCTCAACTCTGTCATATTGATAATTACATGTTAATTTCCTTATGCATCTGTCTCTATCAGATGTGTATTGTTTGCTCTTTTAATTACTTTTTTTTGCATTTAAGAAGGTTTATAGTTGTAGTCTCTTTGTTATCTTTGTACTTTGATCTTTAAAAATGTCCTCAGTTTCATTTTCTTTTTTAACCTATCTGGTTTATCAGTTTTTATTGTTCTCAGTGAGTTCCTCAGGGGTGAGGAGGATAGAAATGAAATGTCTATTGTGGCAGCCAAGAGGACCCCAGTGTGGGCCTTTAACCCTACCCCTGGCAAGGGAGCCCCAGCTGTGTGAAAAGTTCAAAGGCCAGAGGCAGAGGATGATATGAGTACAGCTACAACTTGGACTTGGGGAAACAAAGAGATTCCCCATAGTTCATTTTCTGCACTCTAAGCACAATTAGGCACTGACAATATTGGAACCAGGATCCATCTGAAGTTTGACGTACTGTTATCCTCTGGTTGAAAGGGTCCCTGGGTGACTAAGGGGCACGGAAATATGCTCACCAGCCTGGACACATGACTTAAATGGCTGTGGAAGCCTAAGCTTTGTGATTCTGCCCTTTTCAACAACAGAAATAAGTATGTAAGAGGTCTCAAGCTAACTTGGCAATGATGTCAGTGATGAAGGCCCAGTTGAAGTCTAAGGAATGAGGGAACACACTTTCACATGAAAGTATACATACACCGGTATATACCTCATCTACTCATTTCTAATTCTGAAAAAAATCAACCATCCACTGGCAGGTGGAAAATAAAACATTTCCATATTTCTGGAAGATCAAAGGAAAAAATGCTATCAATCAAACATTTTAGCCTTTAATACTAATAAAGGTTCTCTGAGGAGAAACACT